GACGCTATTAGCCAATCACAAACGTTCTTGTAAACTCGGTAACTAATGTAAACAATGTCGCGAGGGAAGTGACAAGCGAGTTTTAGATCTGCGACGACGAGTTACTTGGAACGGTATGACGTTATTGCCAGGCATATGCGCATGCGTAATTATATTTATAATGCTTGGGTTTCGTCGAGTTCATTCGTAGAGGACGTGAAATCAGCCGGGAATCCGTCGTCACAGACATACACTTCTGACCAATCACAGTACGTCAATTGGCTGTCGATCATGTCAACACCAGGTCAACACTAGATTCGTTTTCAAGATAATCGCGAGCTTGAATGCTGGGCTCTGTTGTTCACCAAGAAAATATGGCTAGAAAATTGTAAGTTTAAACGTTATATATGAATATGATTACTTTTGTTTCAATGATTGATGATAATGGTAATGGTATAGGTAGGCCTATCACTTTTATTTTTGTTTGCTTTCATAGAGTAAAAATAACGTAAAGCTTCGATCAATATCCATATCTAAACTTCGCGAACGCCCACCCAGGCCTAGGCCTAATTAATATAGTGTAGGCCTATATAAAGGCCTAGCCTAGGCCTAGTAGTATAGGCCTGGGCTAGGTCTATATTAGGCCTATGTAGGTCTAGACCTAGTATCCTACATACTACTACTACTACTACTGTACTACTACCATAAAGGCATAAAGCCCTACAAGAATATATGGATTGAAGAAAAAATATAAAAATAAATTAGATACGAAAAAGCAGATGAATCGGGCTATTTATTATTCCTATAATTAGGCATGGCCTAAGGCTAGGCTAGGGCCTAAAAAATAAATTACATACTGTACCTAAGTTAATAAATATTCATTGATTTTACTTTTTCAGATTATTAACGTTCAATAGTACTCTACCCACAACAACTGCAAGTTCCGGAATCAACTCTATCCAACAGCTTTTTGCATGTAAGTTAAGGCCTATATTGCTACTTTTTTGTTAAATTGGATTTTAGTAATGTGCTGTTTTATTTAGGTCTAGATATTTTATAGAGGCCTGAGGCCTAGGTATGTTTGTTTTTTGCGTGTGTGTTTTGGGTAGGGATTTCTTTTTCTTTCTCTTTTTTTGTTAATACTGTAATACCATCATGCAATTTTACAACACACATTTTGAGTCTATCTTTTTTACCAGTTTTGTACACACTTACTGTATCTGTTTCAGATGGACAACAAACACCAGGAGCAATACCCATCGTTGTAGGTTTTCA